TTATCACCTTTTATCACCTTTTTATTACCTTTTATCACCTTTTTATCACCTGTATCACTATTGTTATCACCTTTTTATCACCTTTATCACCTTTTTTTATCATCTTTTTACCATCTTTCTTATCCCCAACCCCACCCCCACCATTTAGCTATGTCTATGATATGACGAGGCTCGCTAGGATCTACATGATGTACAACTTCGAAGACGAGGCCGATCGGACATGTTTATGCACTTCGGGTTAATGTGAGACGTGCTGTCGTTGATAGTGGACATGAGTTCGGCAGTCGCATCATTGGTAGCGGACACAAGTGGTGAGATTATGTGATTGGCAGGTAACGCAGATGTTCATGAAGCCGTCTAATCATTCAAGCTTCTTCCCTGCCCATCTCCCCAGTGACTTTGTCTGCACGATGGCCAAGACAAAGGATCTGGCGGCCGTGAAGAGATCCTTGCGCGTCGCACGTGCCGGATTCAACAAGGCAGCAGGGGATTTGGAAGCCATCATCAAACGACGTGTCCCCAAATGCAAGAAGCACTTGAGAGCGGTCCGGCAGATGGAGGAAAGGGTCAAGGAGTTGGGGGGGGGAGTTGTCCGACGAGGTCTCTTCCAGGAGTTCGCTCCTCGGAAGCGACTCCTCGGACAACTCCAGCGACTCCAGCGACTCCAGCGAAAGCGAGGCACAGGCTCCGATGGAGAAGGCAGAGGCCAAGCCTGTTGCGGCAAAGAAGGGAAAGAGTGAGAAAGGTGACGGTAAGGTGGTACGGGGGCCCGCTTCGAAGAAGCCGCCCCGCCGGAGCAAGAAAGATTTCCCGGTCATACCGCCGGGGGAGGATGCGCCGAACCACCGAGGGAAACCGAACGCCGAAGGCGTGCGGTATCCCGGTTTTCACAAAGGGCACCCGCAGTACTGTAAAGCTTGCGAAGTCCTGAGGCGAGGGTTCATCCGAACGGGAAAATCCCATATCGATGGATGCCTCTGGCGATCGCGCGGGTGAACCTACGCACCCTGGTGAAAAACAACTCTGGAGGTTCTGTCTCGAAGTTAAATCACCTTACGTTGAGAGCTTGTAGACAACACGACGCCAGGTTATGTCCGGATCAGTATATGGACGGCGAGTGTGCAACCCGTATGCATTCAGAGTGGACGTCAGATGGTTGATGTACTCCGACGAGAGAGTTTGACCTCCGATGTCGAAATTCCACTTGTAATTGCATAGTGTAAGTGCTTACAAGCCTACTAACGAGGTTAGTGATTTACCTTATTAACACAGAAAGTTCTTGGACATTCGTGTGCAAGGGATACCAGGGACGTAACAGCCCAATTCAAGCACATCTAGCGTCTAATATGTTAGTGCTCACAAGATGTGAAATCATAATGCTAGAGGATACGAGTTGCGAAGTTGCTTCACATTTTAAGACATACTCTGGGCGCACCAACGTAACTCAGACACAACTAAAGTCGTACATGTCAGTGCTCACAAGGTGTAACATCATGACACTGGTAACGGATGCGAGTTCTGAAGTTGCTGGGATTTCGTGTAGAGAAAGACCAGCAACGCAACAACCCCACTCAGACACACTAGAGTCTAATGTGTCAATGCTCACAGGGTGTAACATCATACTATTGGTAGCAGACATGGGTTCTGAAGTTGGTGGAACTTCGTGCGCAAGAAAGATCAGAGACGCAACAACCCCACTCAGGCACATCTAGAGTCTAATGTGTCAATGCACACAAGGTGTGATATCATGCCATTGTAGCGGACATGAGTTCTGAAGGTATTAGAGCTTCGTGTGCAGGAAAGACCAGGAAGGCGTCATCGTCTTCCTCCGAAGAAGATGTTGATGCTTATGTTGTTGCTTGTCAGTCGTGCTCCTGCACTCATACATGTCTCCATTGGTAGTGGAGCAAGCACATACCGCAACTCAGATCGGATCAAGAATCTTCGGTTTTCGGGCCGACGTCAGAGATATAGCCTGAATGCGCGAATTACATCTCTTGTCTAATGAACGATCGTGGAATAGTGCGTGCGTACGTTATAGTGTGGTCTGACTGGAGAACATATGCAGCAGTTATATCAGGAAACACTAACATGCAGATCCGATGCTGTAATTCGGGCATCTCTTACAGCACGAGGTTGGACGGACGATCACAATTTCGCGAGATGATCGGTGCGCCCGAGCTCGTTTATCTTAACATGACAGGTCTGACAGTCATGTCAGTGCAAGTCTGTGCTGCCACTGCTGTTCGCACTAGGTTGTTGCTGTGAAAGACTGTTCTTGGCTCAAGCTTACACAGCCTGTCCACTCACTGTCTCGCGTGTCTTGACTGCATACTGCAAGAATACAATACCGACTCCGCACCGACACGACACTGCAGGACCATGATCTGCTTCTCAGCATGCCCGTGGTTCGCGGACGATGCGCGCGAAGCCCAAGTTACTGCACGATAGACTTGTCAGCAAACGAGCTGACACAGGGTGGAACACCATCCTCCCGCCGTACAGCCGTCTGGGACGCGCAACTCGATCGTATATTGTTATCAATCTGTGTGTGCACATTGATGAACTCTGTCCTGGATATCATCGAAGGCGTTTACGTGCCGTATCAGAACCGCTGGGTGAGGCAGTCACGTGATAGCTGCGTAGGCTAGGGAAGCGCGAGCGGGCAGTATGTGGTATGGCAGGATCTACAAGCCAGAGAAGGACGATCCGTATGCGCCGCAGTCATGTATAAAGACTGCGAATCCCATGAGTACTTCTCGGACAAGACTCCAACTCCCCACATAGTTTCTGTTTCAGGTCAGCAACGCTGGACGACGGCCGCTGGCAGCGGGTGGAGCGACCTCCTCAATCGGATCGAAGCACAATGCATCGTTAGACAGAGTCGAACAAATAAGGCCTGCTGCCGCGGCTGACGACCGCATGGTTTTTACGACGTCTGCACCTCATGGGGTCCAGTATCAAGTCCTTACGACAGATCCCGGCACCCGCGAACCATGACGTCCCAGTGTTGCTCTTGCAGGGAGACGACTACTTCTGTCGCTGGAGGACTGCTTTCCATGTTTGCAACAAGATGCTCAGGGACATGTCCCTTAAGCAATTGTTTCAGGTCCGAAGCCTGCCTGCCTGCAGCATGTCGGCAATAGACAAAACATGGAAGGTGGTCAGTGTGTGTGTGTGTGTGTGTCTGTACATTGTAGCAAGGGATGCTGGACGGACGTGGCCGGTGGGTGAAGACAACGTGGACTCCTCCGGTGTGATCGAGTGGTTGTCGTGGTAGCAACACCGCTGTAAGAGCTAGCATGGATGACCTTCCTCATGGCAAGGTTGGAGGCGAAGATGCGGAGCTCTCAGTCATGTGATGAGTGCAATAGCTCGCATATTAGGAAGCTGTCCCGGGATGCAGGCGTCCGCCAAACGCAGCTTCCGGCCGGGTCGATATCAGTGGGCCAGGAACTTCGCTCGAGCGTATGAGACTATGGAGGATGTTCACGCTTGAGAGCACATGTGGAGGGGACAGATCTTTTCTGTTTATCAATAGCTGAGGTTGGCATTGTCGAAGCGGCTGCGGCAGACAAGTCGAAGGCTGGAGAGCAGCAATCAGCAATTGCGCAACCTTGAGACGGACACGGGACGATACGGTCCATGCCAGAACGGTAGGTTGGTACATTGTCACAAGTACGACAATACATGAAATCCAAGGTCTGCCGTGGACGCTCTTCTGGAGATGGAGTGAAACTCTTGGTCATAAACGAGAAACAGCCACGTATGACGTATGATCCGAAGACTGAGGTCGAGGGTGTGGAACTTCCATCCAGGACATACCATCCAGCGGTTGATCCAGATGGAGCACGCCGGCCAGTGAGTGATGGGCGCAGGATGACATCTTGTCTTAGTTATGTGTATAAAGCAGGACCGAAAGGCTTGACTTCTGGATACTGAGGCAGAAGCTTTATCACTTCAGTCCTGTCCACGGCATCCAAAATCTCATCGACCGAGAGTTGGCGACTCAGAGTGCGTGTTCGTTGTTTTTAATATGATCATGTGATCTGGGTGAGGCATGGTGTCACCGCGTGCCGACCTTGACTCCTAGAGCATTTCGTGACAGCCTGGAATGGATGCATATGTCCATCGCTCGAAGGCATGGGATCGAGGATGTAACTGTGTGCATTTCCAATACCATCCGAGGAACCGTGTCACCTCCGACAACTACGTAGATCCATTTGAGTGACTTAGCGAAGAATGAAACAACATCTGCCACACATTCGTGTGCTTCACAGCCAGTTCATGTGCACGATCATATGTTACCACGTGTCAGGCTAGATTGCAACAGCAAAGGATACTCGCCCCATGGCCTAGCACATCGAAGCGGCCTGTGGCTAAGGCCTTGTGCCGATCGGAGAGATGGCACTCTCGTGTAGGATATACAGCGAAGGCTGTAGACGTGACTATGGACGCAGGAGAGTATCGCATGGAGGACCCTTAGGAGACGTTCATGGGCTCGCCGATGCAATCGCATGCATCAGCGGTCAGGTCAGTTGGTTCGTGCTGACATGCAGGAGGGACATGCATAGGCAAATCCCGACTCTGCAGGCATGGCGATGTACATGAAGTCACACATGCGGGAAGCCCCGCTTGGCATCTTGGCGAAACAGTCTCGAGCTGCTCAGGATTGATCAGTAGCCAAGCTCCATGTTGCTTATGAAACATGCTTGATCTACATCTGCACTTCCATGCAAGGTCGGGACGAAAGGTACCGTGACGTCTGCCTTATCAATGTACTGCGTGCGCACGGATATAAGTGCGAATACACAGCAGACGGGCCATTCTGGGCTATGGAGGACGGCAACGTCTTTCTGAAGCCGTTCCGGTATCTTGACTGTCATAGGTCTTTCGACAATGTTCTGAGGGAATGGTCGCATCTACACACATCCCATTTGTGTTGCGGAGTCACGGCAAGGCAGTCTATCAGTCGCACTTCATGGCAAGAAATCTCCACGATGGACAATGGCCAGTTCATCATGACACTCGGAGACCATTTCCTGGCTCTTCGCAAGATCGAAGGCATTTTGGAGATCAACCACGGCAACAAGCGACATGAATGGGAGTCAGCCGTCATCGATCCAAGGGCCTGTTCTGGATTTTTCATTCTTCAGGCGAGATGTGTTGGGAGATGATGTGCACATGGCCCGTGCTCGTATACACATACTGTCTGAAAGTCTCCTTTGTATAGTAAACATACGAAGATTAATAGTAAATATACGATGACTACAGTGATGTCCATCTACGGCATCGCTATAATATAAGAGTGTAAAGCACCCTGTCAGGACGCCGCTGCAGCATCTCATGACGGAGTCGATCTGGCTGCCGGCAGCATCACGGACGTGCCTGAGCACGTCATGAAGGAGATCCTGTCCAACATCGGGGACATCAGATCGATGGTACAGGTCGAGCGAGTCTCTTGGGAGACGCGTAACATGGTCATTCAGCGAGGCATATGGGATGAACGACATGCTGGTACCATCCCAGCAGAAGCTATGGCTGCCAACTGGTTGGTTACGCCGGATTCTCTTCTGGCCCAGGCGATCAGGGCGTCTCGAGTCGTGGCCGTAGAATGGCCCATGCGGCAGACAGAAAAAAATATCCAGGGCAGTTGTATGCGATGCTGGCGAAGTACAGAGCCAATCTTATCTCCTGTTCTGTTGGAACTCTATACCATCGACAACATCGACAAGTGCGTGATATCGATTGGAACTCCGATATCTTCGGACGAGGACAGTGGGCTAGGGAGCAGCCGCCGATGCTGGTGTCAACTGAATCGCCCATGTGAATCCCGTGTGGATGCTGAGCTAGGGCACAATCAACGTCAGGTGCCATGTGCTCGTTTTGGGATGTCGATGCCTGTGATAGAGCAACGTCGTCTTCTTCAACTGCAGTGGTGGAACCAGATTCTGGCGGTGTTCTTGGATGGTCATCAGCTTGGCTCATTATCGCTTGCAAATTGTCAGCTGCCAGATTGGGCACAAGTTTCCATTCATCTCTTCAGCCCATCGGACGGGACACCATGCATCACCAAGAGCCACATGCTGCCGACAGAGATGGGGACCGTCGCTCTAGCCCGCCAAATGGATTTGCGTGGAGGAGCACTGGAACAGCTGGCAGCCATCATCCATCCGGCTTCCTGGCTGCCGTGTTTCCCAGACATCATGTCGCTAGGAACTTGCAGCGTCGGTCTGCGAGAGATGATGCAGGATGTTGGTCCAAATGGTTTCAGGACGTGGATCTCCAGCTACCAATGCACATCAGCGCAGCGTTTCGCCGTTGTCATTTGTTTGAACGACTGCTTAAGGCCTGGGCATCGAGCATTGCCAGCGTGGCATGCCCACCTCAACTTCTCCACCACATATCCTCGCTAGACGACAAGATCTGGTTGCATGGAGACGGAGAATATCTACCCAGCATTTGCGGACCTGTTCTCTCACCGTCCACCGCCCGTATTATGTACTGGAGGTCCGAGCGACAAACTTGTCAGTCAGTTCGACTGAGCTGTGCCATCGCTGCAGACTCCAGCTATCTGGTTTTGGCACTTCGCCGCAGCAACCACCAGAGTAGACCGGAGAACAGCACTTGCCTCATTGTGCGAAAACCATGTGCATCAGGCGCAGAAATGTGGTTTCGTCTTGCAGATGGTGAACGAGTGAGAGTGCCGGCTCCGAGGCACGGTCCAAGTCCTGCATCTTGGCCACACACCTTTGAATTTCGCTGGGACGCAACCTTTCTGGAATTCTTCTTGGACGATGAAGCGGTTGCGGGCATCTCTTTGTCAGGAGAACAACTTCTTGAACCGTGGATGCGTGCAGCAGCCATGTGTGTCGCTTCATCCAGAAGTTCGATGACGGATTTCGCAGTCGATGCGTTACCATGGCAGTACAACATCATGTTCGGCTATCCCAAGTGCTCGTTTTGTCAAAAGTACAGCCTGGGCTGTTGTCAAGCATGTCAACATTGGTTCTGCTAGGACCACGGCGTCCTCGGCAGCGATATCTGCCTTGGTTGTGTTCCAGAAACTTCCTGGAGGACCGTCTGGCTGGAACCTCGTCCAGGACACTGCACATCGAGAAACGCCGCATGGATGCGCTGAAAAGACTGTATTTGACATTCACAGGTGACATTTCGAGCTTCCGCCGTCTATGTGATCGTATGGAAGCAACGCAGAACATTGTCCTTAGTTGTGATGGTGGTTCCGCCAGTGCAACTGACATCATCCAGATAGACGATAGTATTCTAAAACGTCTACACGGTGCTGTGGAAAGTCTAGAGATCGGCCACTTCATCACATTGGACACAGGTTTCCAGACAAGATACGGAAACTGTTGCTTGTCGGATTTCTCCCTCCACACATGCCTTCCAGGTTGCGTGGGTAGTGGGCACTGGCCACGATCCATAGTAGTGGCAACACCATCGAACTTTAACGTGGAGCTGCTGTCTGGTGTTGCGGTTCTTGACGTTCTCTCCGTACTGAACCCGCATCCACGCGATTCTAGTTTGCAGTTTCGTGAAGTCGATCATTCTTACACTTGGAATGGGTGCAAGGTCAGTTTGTCGGTGACAGGGCTCATTCACTCTCTGGTACAGCAGTTCAACCCAGTTCAAGCCCTTCGCGACATGCGAGGCGGTCGAAATTGGCCTCGTGCAGAGTATTTGGTTCCGAACGCAGTGGAGTTACTCCGAGGCAGCTTGGTCCATCAAGGGCCACCTGAGACAGAGCTCCGCCGGGTGCTAAACTCTCTTCCGGTTGACGTTGAAGCCCTCTGTCGCCGACTTCGGGAACTGATTTGGACCCATCCAGGATATAGACAATTGGCGACAGTTGCAAGCCTAACCGATTCGCAAATCCTCCAGCAATGGGAAAGGAATCGAAGGGAAGCTGCCGCACAAGGCACGTGGATGCACGCCAACTGCGAATGTCTGCTCAATTGCGGGAGTGTGCCATTCAACTCTCCAGAGGTTTGCATGTTCGCGAAGTTTCTCCGTGACTTCCGTGCGGAGGGATGGATATTCCATAGAACAGAATGGGCAATCTACGCTGATGAGGAGGATCTTGCCGGCTCCATCGATGCCGTCGCGCAACGTGGCACAGACTGGTGTGTCCTCGACTGGAAGCGAACCAAGCAACTGGCTTCGAAAGGAAACAGTTATGGACGTCGTCTTCGGTGTCCGCTGGAGGAAGTGCCCGACTCCGTTGTCTGGCACTATCGTGTCCAACTGAATGTGTATGCTTGGATTCTCCAGCAGTACTACGATGTAGCGGCCACGGATCTTCGCATCGTCTGTCTTCACCCGGACAAGGAATTCTCGCCTTTGGTGATCTCTGTGCCACTTATGCAAGATCACATGGACAAACTCATGTCATGGCGACGAGCTGACGTGCAATCGCGTATGCAACTGTCAAATGTTGCAAATGGTGATTTACGAGGAGGAAGTCAACCAAGTTCGCCATCCTTCTCGCAGCAACTTCGAGAAGAACTCGAGGACGTGGTTGTGGCAGTGAATGATCTTCGTGACGGAAGCCAAGAAGGTGGAGAGTCTTTCTCGCAAATGCTGGAACGGCAACTGGAGGAAACACTTGAAACGGAAGAGCCGGTGACGAAGCGACAAAAAACTGTGGAGTCTACAGACTTCTTAGACAGGAGTGCGACCATGACGCAGTACATGCAGACCGACTTCGACATGGAGTCTATTCCCAGTCGTCTACATGATATGGACACCTCCTCAGGGATGATACTGCAGGAAGTCGCTATCTTCCAAAGAGTTGTCGCCGACTATGAGGCAAGCGCAGAATGGTCGACGAGTTTTCGGTTTCTTGTGCAGGGAGCACTTGCCATCCACCGGCTGCGTCTGTTAGACATTAGCAGGCGAGAGGAAGTCATGTTTCTGGAGTTAATAGAAGGCTCTGGTCGCCATGTCCGTGCACATAACGGCCAATGCTTTTTCTATTCAGAACATGGCCATTGGAACGTATACAAGGGCGTCGTGCCAGAAGGCACTTTGGCCAGATGCAAGAAATTTCTTCTTCAGCTAGAAGGCCTCTATGCATTGTTTGGTCCTACTGTCATGAGGGACCATGACGGGATACTGACAGCCGCGCAGGGGTTGTTGGAGAGGCATTCGAACAGGCCTGACAGTCTTTTTGCGGCTTGCGAAGAGGCAGCGATATGCCGCCTGCCAGCCAGGAACAAGGCCAGCAGTCACGGAGAAGAGGATGATCAGGAACAGCGAACGAACGGCAGCATGCACTGGACGCTCGCCATGGCCAACACCATCGGCAAACTATACGTGAAGCTGTCACTTAGCTGCAGTGAACGACATCGAATCATGCGTGTGCAGCATACAGTAGACTGATACACATGAATCCACTTAGGCAGACTTCACTGTTGAATGATTCCTTGATCAAGTATTTCATCGCATGGTGTTCTCTAGACATCCAGCCGTCCGGTGGCTTCTGCACGACGGATGCCTGCTTCCTTTTCGTGCCGACGGGCCTCAAAGCAGTTGCGAGGAACCCCGCGAGTAACATCTATGTCTATTTGCTTCACCGAATGCTGGATCCCGTTGCAGATGACGTCAAGGAGAGGCTTGATCGCTTCTGGCGAACCACATACTGGGGCAACCTCGAGGCTTTTGAGGTTTTTATAGCTTCACTCACTTTGGCCTTGCGCGGAGAAAATGTTGATCGAGCCTTCTGGGGTATTGGCTCTGGCGGGGTGGGTCAAAGTCTACAGACGGCCCACCTCGAAGCCATTCTGGGTGAGTATCACACTTGCCTGGACATGAACATTTACTTTGTGGATGAGGCGGGCATGCAGGTGTGTGTAGTGGAATATTTCGGTCTTGTTAAACAGAAGTTGGTAAGTTAGTAGCCACAGTCGGCAACTGAAGCATGCTAAAACAGGAGATGCGCAAGCAGGCGGCTAACCTTGTCGGCAAAATTGTGGTGACTGGGCAAGAAAGCGTACAGGGCTCGCGACGTCCCATGCGGGAGGATATATATAAAAAGCATATATCCGCGGACAAAGTCCCCGAGCGCCTCCCGTTTGCTATACATACTGCGCTTGTGGAGCTCCGCGGCTGGAAGAGGTTCGAACTGAACTCAGTTCCAAAGCTACTCGGCAGATGCAGTATAACAGTCGTGATTGATTTCTCATGTCGCCGTGCTGCATGGAAACCATATCATTATGATACCTGGTCGCGGTCAGGTTCGTTGGGGTAACACAGGAGAATATCAATTCCATCTTCAGAAGAACCGCGGCGTGTGCATACAAGAGTACCTTCGTCGATGCCGCTCGCATCTCCGGCCGGGAAGAGTTGGCTGCATCCCATGGAATATTTCCACGGGATCCCACCTTGAAAGATTCCTCAGAGAGAAGCCAGCTTGTCTAGTTACACTGCGATGCATCTGGAACTACGCACGGAGTCGGACAGCGGAGCAATGCCGTGACGTATTAGAGAAATACGTCGTCCGTGGTGGGGATGGTGGGTTGAGTCTGGCGACCGTCCGACGAAGTTGCGGTCTAGCACCAAATGAAAATGTGCAGGTTGACGACGTGCAAGAAACCCTGGATGCCTTGGCCAAGAAGCCCACAGACCCATCTCCTGCTACTGCTGCCCCCGCGAAAAATCAAGTGTCCGTGGTCCAGGCCACAACCGATGGGCACAAAGAAGACCAGAAGGAAGCTATGCGACAAATACGGCAGTGGCTAGTGGATGAACGGAAAGATTGGTTCACAGTTGCCCAGCTGAAGAATGCGAAGGCAAAGTATGCTTTTCCCTTTAGCAAACAAGACGCACAGGAGGTTAACTTCTAGCAGCACCTGCAGTTCTACCCAAGGTTGGCCATGCGACGCTCTACATCCCGCTCTACGCCTGCAAGAAACCCCTCGGCGAGGTGGTGTCCTTGGATCATGACAAAAATATGGTCTTCACCGAAGAGTACTCGGTGAAAGGTGTTCAGTCTCGCTTGGCAGGGGATTGCTCCAGAAGTGTGAATATTCTGATTCTGGCCGAATCCTACAAGAAAAGATTCACATCGCATGCCACCACGAAGAAGAATGGCACTCCCAAGCGAGGCACAGATAAAGAAGTGGAAGTAGACAACTCCAAGCTCTCAGAGAACCTTCGAAGCGTGCTCGAGAAGCAGAAAACTCTTTATCAGGAGGTTCTTCAAGCAAAATCCGTCGAACAGGAGAACAGGACAGAGTCCATGGAGCCAAACTTACACGTGACACTGCAGCGTAGCTATTTCTACCCCATGGACATCCGCTGCCGTCGATTCTCAACTGAGCACGGAGCTCAGAACGTTTCTCGACTCACGAGGGCCATCTGCTTCCCCGATACTGCAGACTATGACATCTCGGCATCAATGTTCACTATCGTTGTGCAGCTGGTCGATCTGGTGCAACCGGAGGGCGTGGCCATTCCCTCCTGGCGTGCTGTGGCAGCGAATCGCAGTGCCGTGTGTGCAAACCAGCTGAAGTGCACCGAGACTGTGGGCAAACAAATTCTTATGGAAGTCGCCAGCGGAGCGGCAGTCACGAACTTCCCGAACATCCACAAGCAGGGCTTGGCATTCTTGACAACTTTGTCTACGGAAAGTCGCCTTCTGCGATGGCTCGCGTGCTCACAGTTGCATGCCGAATACCTGCAGCTGCGTCGCAGCTCCAGGAACCACTGGCCGGAGGCAAACTGTGTTGAGCTTCCTGAGCTTTTAGGAGATCACATGTTCACAGGGAAGCTGCGTGTAAGTCCTGCCCAAAGCAGCTCACAACAAGTGTGCGGTTGAACGACGGCGGCCTTGGCTCAAGGGTGACTGACTGATGGCTGCGGAAGCAAAAGTGCCGAGCAGCTGTGCCGCGTAGTCTCCAACTGTGCGTTGTCGGACACAGTTGGTAGCGGAGCGATGGTTCGAGAGGCCGCGCTCTACGACATGTACCCCGACCCGCAGCATGGAGCTGGCGACGCAGCGGCCCGAGCCTGGGCACCGCAGACTACCTTTCAGCAAATCCCTTGGCAACATCACGATGTGTGGCAGAGTGGATGGACGGGATACCCCGAGTGGCAGGACAGCTCCTGGGCTTCGACTGACTGGAGCCATTCGTACATGATGACGGGCGCCACTGGGGATGACCAACCTTCTACCACACCGTTGGGGGGTGGTCGGCATGGGGAAAATGCCGGCTACCGCGCCACCGATGACGCCAGCGGCGAGTGCGATGCGACCGCAGACGGGACCACCATCACCGGAGGACCCATGGGCAGAGGCCGCGAGGCAGCTGATCCGAGCTGCGACCCTTGGAGGCAGTGTGGGCCTGGGAACCAATTTACGGCCAGCCTTCGCTGGGCAGGGAACGTCGGCGAGCCTACTTCCAGGACTACCAGGACCCCCGCCGGAAGCTCGAGGACCAGCTGGGGCTTCGGCGAGCCTACCTCCAGGATTACCTGGACCCCCGCCGGGAGCTCAAGGACCCGTTAGAGTTCAGCTGCCGCCGGAGGACACCCATGTGCAGATCTACGTGTACCCCCGCCGCATCCTCACGGAGGCGCTGCGGGACTTCCTGGAGGCGTCGGCCAGCCATATGGTGGGCCGCCTGGCCCTGGAGGTTTCGCGCCTGGTGGAGGCCACAGCGGCTCTTCAGGGTGGCCTTGGCCTCCGTCTCAGCCGAAGGGAGACTTCACAGATCCTCCCGCCTGGCCTGGATGGACGTACCGGAAGCAGTGGGAGACGGCTCTTCGGAGATGGAATAAGAACACTGATGTTCCTCTCTACCGGCGGGCCGAGAAGGTGCTGAGGTCTCTTGGCTGGGAGATGCAGGTGGACTTCGAGCACTTGACTGAGGCGGAGCTACTTGAGCCGACCTACCTCGAGGCCATCCTGCGCGTCATGAACCTGAAGGCTGGAGTTCGAGACGATGATGAGAAACGTCAGGCCTTCAAGGACGTGATCCACGGCTCGGCGAGGAAGAAAGATGAGAACCTTGGGCAGTTCGCCACGAGGAGGCTGCGGGACTTCACGAAGGCCGCCACCTACGGGATAGTGCTTCCTCCTGAGTTCAAGGTGTCCCTCATGAAGGAAGGTGCGGGTTTAAGCGACCAGAACCTGCAGAACCTCGCGGTGTTGACCCAAGGCCGCGAGAACGACGTGGATTTCCTCGCCGCAGCGATGGCGAAGATGGACGTCCGAGCCGATCGGCTTTCAGGCTTCGCGGAGAATGACACCGAGGGGGCGCACACCTTCCTCGAGGGAGCCGATGGCGAGCCAGACGATGACGAGGACGAGGAGGACGACGACGAGTCCGTCCCGGACGAGGTGATCTTGTCGGAGCTGCAGGACTTGAACTTCTCCGAGGACCAGGCACAGATGGTCTTCGCGATCTTGGAGAACCGGCCACCTCGCCGGCGCAGGACTTGGAAGGAGAACCGGATGTTCAAGGCCGAGGCTCGCAAGGACCGCAAGCCCTTTCGCAAGGGCGACTCCGCTCCTGAAGGAGGCCAGCCAAGGTCTGGTGGTCGTGGAAACCGAGCCGGAGTCACCCGTGAGAGCCTCAAGAAGATCTCCACTTGTCGCAATTGTGGCCGCAAGGGACACTGGGCCGAAGACTGCCGCCAGCCGAAGGCCACTTCTGGAGAGATCGGGAAGGTTTCCGGATTCTGCTACCTCGGCCAGGGCGTCAACCATGGGACCGGCTTCTGCGGCCTGACAATGTCCGAGTGGCAGAAGGTGATGAGCGCTGTGAAGGCCACTACCGCTCAGTGCGCTCTGGGAGCGCTCAGCTTCCTGTCGCTGAAGTCCGGGACCGCGATCCTCGATATTGGCGCGACTCAGGACCTCATCGGCGAGACCGCTTTGCAGGCTTTGGGGCATGTTCTGGCAAAGTCTGGACTTCAGTACGTGGAAGTCCCAGCTCCTCCTGGCGGGGCCCCGACAGGGATTGGAGGTGCGGCCCGTGTCAAGAAGGCCGTCTTGGTTCCGATCTCGCCGGGCGGTGTGCCGGGCGTGGTGAACTTCGTCGTCTTGGAGGAGAACATCCCACCATTGCTGAGCGTGGGCCTGCTAGAGCACCTAGGAGTGAGCCTGGACTTGGTCAGCAACGAGGTTCAGTTCAAGAGCATCGGTGTCTCCCGGCAGATGCGCAAGGAGAGCTCTGGACACCGGACGATCCCGTTGGTAGAGTGGGACGGAGCTCCCTTCCCCGTGCCCAAGGAGGCTCGGGAACGTTTTGGACTCTCAGAGGACGCTTTTATGCTGAAGCCCAAGATCTCCTCCGCGTACGGAAAACAAGTGGAGGAGCGCCCGAGTTCTTTGAGCTTCCCCACCACATGCCGGAGTAGGCAGTCGCAGCCCGTGAGAGATGATGCCCCGTATCCTCCACATGTACGTGCGGCCCTGCTGTGTTGAGTCTGCCAAGTGGGACGCAGTGTGATCGCGATAGGAAAGATCCTGAAGCTGATCAGCCGTGTGATGTTGACAACATGGTGAAGTCTCCAGCAGCTTTCGGCCCCATGTGCCGTAGTGACCCCAATTCGACAACATCCTGCCTCAGCCCCGCCGGGAACTTCGATCATGGAGACTCCGAAGGAGGCGCGAGCCGCGCAGCGGTGGCGGGCGCTGACCAACAGGTTGTTCTTTATGCTGGAGACCACCCGCATGATGTTCGTGCGATTGGTGATGGCCGAGAAGGGGCAGAAGTCGATCAAGTCGGACCGCCGGAAGTACATCGAGGCACCGAATCAGGCCCCAGGGAAATGTCTCCACATCGGCCCCCACATCAATCGTGGCAATCAGTATGCCAGTTGGCAAGTGTGCAGCACATGCAATGCCCGGATCAACTATGCATCTCGGGGAAAGAGCAAGGCGAAGGCGAAGGCCAAGGCGACCCCGGCGACAACTTTGACCTCAGGATATCCGCATCGGACCCAGGGTCCGATTCTCGAGCCCAATCACAACAAGAACCTGCGCAACGAGGTCCCAGAGGGCGCCGGGTCCAGTTCCTCGACCGCCTCCCCGGAGATCGCGACGGCATTGCAAATGATGGCGAGCGGCTTCCAGCAGATGAATCACACGATGACCGAGCTCATGAAGGGACAAAACCAAATGATCATGATGCTGGCAAATGGGCCGCCGGAGCGGCAGTTCGACAAGATGACCTTCGCCGAGACCTCCCGAATGGCTGCGCGAGCCATGACCGAGCACTTCGAGATGAGCGTGGACGAGGAGGGCGAAGAGGACGGCAGTTGGTCCCCAGTGGCTGCGACAGCCGCGGCGGAGGCGGGCCACTCAAATCCCAATCTTCTGGACATGCCGTGAAGTGGCCCCGCTGGATGACCGGGGTCCTGTGTGCATCTACTTTGGTGCACTGGGGACAATGCTCTCCCGAGCTCCAGGAGAAGCTTCAACCACGCGGTGGCGGAGAGCACAGCTGGATGGTCCACTACGAGGGAGGCCAACCTCCCAGCAGCCGGGCTCCTGCGCACCTGCGGCACGCATGGGTTCATGAGGTCGAGACACGGCCTCCTGGTTTTGTGACCCTATGGCATCAAGAAGAAGGACCCGATGGAGCCGTACGAGAGCGAGGACCAGGCGAAGCCCTCCCCTCCTCCGGGCGGGATCAGGCGAAAGTGCGGCGCTGGGTGCTTGACGAGAAGCTGCTGCTCCCCTTCCAGCTCCAGGACTCGTCGGTGAGCGTCTACGGCATGGACGTGGACGGCAACGAGTCCGCGACGGCCGAGCTCCTGGGAGACTTCGTCCATGCCCCGCCAAGTGAAGGGGCGCCCGGAGCTTCCAATGATGTGGAGGAGGCCGTGCGAGGATTACATCATCTCGCCAGGCACCGCTCTCATGAAGTACAACGATGTCAATTGGACGTCCTGGAGGTGTTCCACGCGGGGGCCTTCTCGACCATGGCGCAGCAGAATGGCCTGAAGGTCCTCCCCGAGCCGGGCAAGTTTTCCGAAGGCCAGGGATGGAGCGGTCTCAAGAAGACGGAGAGGCAGCAACTACGAAGGACCGTTCACGACCTGCGCCCTCGGCTGGTGGTGATGAAGATGTCAGGCCCCTCCGGGAATGGTCCCTCAGCGACTACGCCCTCATTCGCCAGGGAAAAGATCGGCGAGGCCACCCAAGGAGCGCTGGCGATTGAGCTAGCTCAGACACAAGTGGAGCGCGGAGAGAGCTTTCTCATCGAGGCCCCCGTAGGTGCCACATGCCAGATGCCCTGGCGTGCCGGATCAGGGAAGCCAGGCGTCAGGACTTCAACGACTCGGAGCAGCTGGCCAAGAGCCTGACGGCCAGGGAGGATTTCTCCCATCAAGCATGCCGGCGACTACTCCGCCGCATCCCGTGGGACAAGCTACCGATTGGGCGAGGAGCAACCTCTCCCATTGCACGGGCAAGAAGGAACACCGTGACCCTTGGACAGTTTACTCATGGAGGTGTTGGAGGCCTGACCAGAGCTACACTCATCATGCCCGAAGCAACGATCTATCTCAACCGCTACATGAGCCAGCAGGGGGCCATTGATCCGAGGTCTTCGCTGACCATAGGGATCAACAACCGCATCCCCTACCACCGGGACGTCCACAACCTTGGATCGAACAGTACGATCTCTTTGGGGAAATTTAGCGGGGGAGAAGTTTGGCTAGAAGAGGAAGGCGGACCTTCTCTACGACAAGTTCATCCAGGTCGTTGGGTTGCAGGGCGGCAACACTCCACCCACCATCGGCTTCTGCGCTTCTCCCCTAAGGCCTTTCATGGAGTGGAGCCACACCAAGGCGAGAGATGGAGCATCACTACCTTCAGGACGCGCTCCTCGGCCAAACTCCATGGAGCAGGGCAGGCGAACCTTGGGGCCCTAGGCTTCAACCTGAAGGGCTACGGAAGCGAACTGCAGGGTCGACCAGGCCGGGACTTGGCTCTGCTAGATGCCTCCTTCTGTGCATCTCTACCGAGCAGTTGGATGTGGTCGATCGACCGATCGCAAGGCGAGACTTTGAACTATGCTGAGGCCGAAGAGGAGCCGGACGAGGCCCCTCCAGAAGATCGCCGGGAAGGACGAGTTGAACCTCCCGCCTCTCGGCCCCGCGCTCGCGTCTCCGAGGAGCAGAAGCGTCTGATACGTAAACTACATGTGAACACCGGGCATCCCCCTGCCGATCGTTTCTTGAGGACCTTGAGGGCGGCTGGGGCACTGCCACATGTTCTGGAGTACGTCCGAGACCACTTCAAGTGTGACGACTGCGACATCAAGATGCAGGCCGATTCCCGAAGACGAGCCCAGTGCCCGAGGCTGTACACGTTTAATAAGGTCCTCTCCGTGGATGTGATGTACCTCCGCTTCCAGGAGACCCAAGTCCCCATCCTCAACATGGTATGCACTGGAACAAACTATCACATCGCCGCTCGCATCCCAGAGACCAGCGGTACTCCTACTTCGTCAGCGACGTGGAAGCTCTTCCTGGAGACATGGGTCAGGTACATCGGAGCCCCAAGCCTAGTCATCACGGATGGAGGGAACGAGTTCAAGAGCTCCTTCGAACGTGGGCTGGAGCAACTGGGGTGCCTACATCACGTATGCGCCGCCGAATCACCCTGGCAGAACTCCAAGTCAGAAAGGCACGGAGGCTGGCTGAAACGCCGGCTCACGCAGGAGGTGGAGTCCGGCCGCTGCATCTTCGACTCCCTCAGTGAGCTCGACGAGTTCCTGGCGCAGATCACCGCCGCTAAGAACCGGTGGTTCAATCAGGGGGGCCACTCACCGGTCCAATTAGTATTTGGTGAGCTTCCTCGTGTTTCGGCTGAGCTTCTCAACGATGGACCTGGAGGACTGCAATCTCTTTCGGATGCGCTGCACGACCCCGCTGGAGCAGACGAGGTGGGAGCCGAGTTCCGTCGGAGAATGCTGATTCGGGACAAGGCGAGGCAGCTGGCCATGGAGTCAGACTCCAAGGAGGCAATCCATAAGGCCCTCAAGACACGGACCTCTCCGTCACGGAAGTGGAACATCGGTCAGTGGGTCTTCGTCTTCCGGAGGGCGAAGCCTGGGGACTCCTTGCATCCGACGTCACGCTGGGTTGGTCCTGGACTGGTGGTCATGAACTCCCAGGGCATCGTCTGGGTGGCAATGAGGACGAGGCTATGGCGCTGCTCAGCGGAACAACTTCGACCGGCCTTCCCATCAGAGGTCTTGGGATCTCAGCTGAGCTCCGATCCTGAGCTTGGGGAGCTGCTCCGGAAGGTCACTTCCAACACCCGAGCCGGGGCAGTTGATGTGGCGAGAGAAGGACCCCCACCTGGCGAGTCAGACCATGTAGCTCCAGTGCATCGTTTGGAGCCCGACGGGTTACCAGTGGAGGCCAGGCCGGAGGACCAGAGTGTGCGAGTAGCTCTACCACCCGGAGAAGTTCCCGGCGGACCGAGCCATTCAGTACCTGTACCTCCCGGGCTTGTTGGACCTCAGGCTAGACACGAAGTCGCTGCTCCTGACCCAATACCACCAGGAGCTGATAACTCGGCAGTGAGTTCCAGGAGATCCTCTGTGGAAGAGCCTGCCGGAGAGCCCGAAGCAAGCCTACCAGCTCCTCTCGCCAGGATTCTGGAAGAACCCCTGTCCGGAAGTTCCTCAGACCTTGGAGATGAGCCTCCTACTAAGGCACCTCGGACGGAGTCCGGGACGAGAGCTCCGGGAACCCCTATGCAAGGGGTCCTCAAGATTATCAAGCCTCGAGGCGTCTCGCCAAGCTCGGAACCCGAAGGGCAGATGTCCTCTTCCTCTACCGCTGGAGCCCGGGAAGCCTCTAGATCACCCAGACGTGGGTCCTCTCATGATGATCTACTCACGTGGTTTTGTGTCAACGACGAGGGCGAGCTGAACCTGTTGGCGAAGAGGAACGATGAGGTCTCTCTCAAGAATTTGAGCGCCGAGGAAGCCAAACAATTCGAGGCCTCGGACGCCGTGGAGTGGGAGGCAATCCTCAAGTCCAAGGCCGTCCGGGTGATCTACGGGCAAGAAGCAGAGGCAGCTCGTCGGAAGTGGGGAGGTAGGATCCTCTCGTCCCGGATGGTGAGGCGTAAGAAGCCGCTGCCGGAGGACCACAAGTGGAAGGCGAAGTCCCGATGGTGTGTCGGGGGACACACAGATCCAGATACAGGATCTTTGATCACCTATGCGCCAACGCCCCAGGGCGAGGGTATGATGGCCTTCATTCAGACGAGCCTCAATCTACGACACCGGTTTGCATTCACCGATGTCAAGAACGCTTTCTGCCAGTCCGACAAGCTGAAGCGGGAGAACGGCCCGCTCTTCGCCGAGCCTTGCGAGGGTCTAGGACTTCCTCCAGGGGCGCTGATAGTGTTGGACATCCCAGTCTATGGCTTGGACGATGCTCCCGCGTGCTGGCGCGCAACTGTGGTGGGCTACCTCGTCAAGGAGATGGGGTACGTCCGTAACCTGGTGGAGCCATGCTGGCTCATGAAGTTCGAGCAAGCCCCGGACGGCAAGCTGCAGAATGTGTCCCAGATCCTCCTGGAAGTGGACGACTTCATCCTGACGGCCCTGCCGAGTCACGAGAAGGAGGCCGAACAGGCGCTCCGCAAGCGCTTCACCTTTGGCAAGTGGGAGCGCGGGTCAGCTGAATATGCCGGCCGGCGAGTTCAGACGTTCCCGGACAAGGTCTTGATCGACCAAGGGAAATACATCCGTGAGCAGGTGCATCCCGTGCCACTGGACAAGCATCGCAAGCAGGACAAGAAGGCGCAGCTCACCAAGGATGAGTTCCAGCTCCTCAGGTCCGCGATCTACAAGGTGAACTGGCTGGCCAAGGAGAGCCGGCCCGAGATGGCCGGACTGGCATCAATCATGGCCTCTCGGCTAACAGTGGCGACCATTGAGGACGTGCTCACGGTGAACAAGTGCATAAACCACTTGCACAACACCGCGGACCGGCCACTGATCATTTGGAAGTTCGACCCGAGTGAGATGGCCTTTGTGGTGGTTACGGACGCCGGCGGCATCTCCGTGCGAGAGGGAGAGACCGACGCAGACGGGCTGCCAATGGATGCCACCCAGGGAGCATGGGCTGTCATCGCCACCGAGCACCTCCCAGTCGGGCGAGAGCGGGTCAAGGGATCGATCATCGCCTGGCGCTCGAGCAAGCTCAAGCGCAAGGTCTTCTCCAGCTTTGGAGGAGAAGCACAGGCTATGCTTCAGGGGGTGAACGAGGTCGATTGGCTGCAGATCATGATCCGGGACGCCACGGCCCATGATGTCCAGTTGCGCAATTGGCGCAACAGTCTGTCGCCACACATGTTAGTGCTCCGAGACCAGTGCGGCCTTCACGAAAGGCAACAGCAGTGCTCAGTGACGGACGCCAAGTCGCTTTTCGACTGCATCCTCCGCGAGCATCCTCAGGGGCGACAAGACCGGAAAGCCGCCCTCGAGCTCTCGATAGTGGTGAAAGATTTGCAGGAGACGCGTTCCATGGTGCGCTGGTCCCCACATCAAAAGAACATCGTCGACGGGCTCACCAAGGCCGACCCTCTCAAGAGCAACGGCGCGATGGAGGACTTCATTCGTCAGGGAGTTTTGTCACTTGTGGACGTTTCCGAGGAACTCCGTAACAGAGCGGCAGATCCGAAGTTCAAGAGGCGAAGCCATTCCGCCTCCATCGCCCGAAGGGCCGAAGAACACAAGGAAGCACACATGACGCTTTGGGCAGCTTTAATTTGGGGGAACTGTGTTGAGCTTCCTGAGCTTTTAGGAGATCACATGTTCACAGGGAAGCTGCGTGTAAGTCCTGCCCAAAGCAGCTCACAACAAGTGTGCGGTTGAACGACGGCGGCCTTGGCTCAAGGGTGACTGACTGATGGCTGCGGAAGCAAAAGTGCCGAGCAGCTGTGCCGCGTAGTCTCCAACTGTGCGTTGTCGGACACACAAACATTTTTGCTGTGTGGTGGAACGCCGCAGAGGATTACATTCTCCAGGCAATGCTTTCTGCGATTCAACGACAAGGATTCGCAGGACACATTTCCTGTCATTTTGACGGCATTCTTCTTCGAAAGTCCTTGGTGAAGTCCGTAGAAGAGAATAACGAGATGAACATTATCTCGTTTCTACAAGAAGCTGTTTCAGAGCAAACGCCTTTCAAGGTGACACTCAAAGACAAAACCGTGTCGTCCCTGGACGAGTTGCTGGCCATGAAATTCAAGCCAAGCGAGGTGGCGGCCGAGCTGGGCCAGCACGTGGACACCTTGACCGCCATCCCCAACTCTATTCCGGCTGCAATGGTATTCCTAGGGGCGGACCTGAAGCGGATCATTCAACGTCTACGACAAGAATCTCCGGCAAACACGAAAGCAGAGACTCGTCATCTTCGACAGTACTCTGACTGGAATGGTTGCGGTCAGTTGCACTTCCTCCCGCGAGGTGCCTGCACCGCTGAGGCCAGTTCAGATTTCCTGCTGCACATCGAGTTTCCGGAATCCTCCTTGTGCCTGGGTGTCAAAGTCCTTCCCAACGAAGCCATCCTACTCATGCGTGGTGGTCGTGTGTATGAAGGATCCATGCCCCAATTGTTTGACGTGTTGGAAGCCTTCTATGGATGTAAGGAGACATTCTGCTTCGAGGTGTCGTCCGAAACAACTGAGATCGAAGATTCTGATTTGGGCTTTCTCGATCTACTCGCTGGATCCTCCACTCCATCGTCATCCAGGAAAAGACCAGCCTCCGTCCTGCAAGATCAGAGTGCACAAAACGAAGGCGAAGTAGAAGTGGGCACGGAACTTCGCGAGCTCCTTCAACAGGAAGTGGCAGCATCCATTGACGCGGTGAAGGGCCAATCTGGGGCCAACTTTCCGCCAACGACGTGTCCCTGTTGTCCCTGGCGGCAATTCGAACGCCGCCAACATCTGCTGCGACACCTTCAGAATCAACACACGCATGCGAAGCGGTGGAGCGCATCCGGTACAAAGCAACTGCGGATTGCCGCGGCCTTGTATGATCATGATCGTCTACATGGCCAGAATCCGGAACCCGCATACTTGACCAGGTCCAGTGCTCTACTTCGCAGGACAGTAAAGGGTGCAATGCCCCGTGACGTCAATGCCATCGACAAGAAAATTCGGTGTGTATGGCATGCAGATGGCCCAGAATTCGTGCGGCTACAAAACGTCCGGAAGGCTACAGGCTTGCGCAGAGTTGGTAACATGTACTACGATCGTGGTTTCGCGGAAGCTTTTCTGCATGCAGCATCTGTCAGTCACGGCTCCCTCCATAAAGCCCAGACACATTTTCTACGTACTTGTCGACGTGAGAATGGACAGCTGGCATCCATGATTCCTCGCGGCAACAATGGGTTTTGGTTGAATGTGATGGAGGATCTGATGACATCGCCTTTGCTGGAATCCTACACAGCACACCTCCTGGAGCAGTGCCGCGAAGCTACAGAATTCCGGTATCTTAGGATCGATGCCACATTCAAGATCAACTTGAAGATATTGGGACAGGCGAGTTTCCATTCATCGGCGGCTTCACGCTCCGACGCCATCATACCGGAGGAAGATGCGGCTTATCGGACTCTGACGTGTCGAGGTCGCACAGGCGCGACTCTGGTCATGTGTGGTGTTCGGTCAGAGAAGGCTCGAGTCATCGCCAATGCCCTAGGGACGGAACTGTCCGAAGCACAACAGCAGCAGGTATTACATATTGCCTCGGATGCTCCGTCACAGGAAATGCTGCAAACTTTGCAGGAGATATTTCCCAATCTAGCAAGCCTTGCCCTCGATGCCATGCACATCGTCATGGTCTATGATCAAAACATGAACAATCGCCGCAGCACCGGGGGAAAATGGCTGGCGGTGATTATGAATAAGTTTCGTCGCCGTCATCCGACGCGGACTCAGGCGTCTTGGGGTGCATTCTACACAGGGGCCAGGCCAGGTCCAGATGCACAGGATGTCCGGTGCATGAGGGAACGCCTCCAGGACCCAGACATGCCGGAGGACGCTGCTATGCGGGTTCTGGATGCGTTGGATCCGGATGTGCCATGGCTGACGGAAGTCGACTTCTTGGAAGCTCTCCTGGCCCATGTATCCTTCTTCCATGAAGAGCTCCAGAAAGTCAGCTATTCCGGCATCTCTCTGCAGCGCCTGATAGTCAACATCGGCAGCAGCAGCAAGTTTCAATGGCTGCTCAATGACACCAGGTATCGCCATGCTGTGGATGCCCGCGAACTAGCCTTATTGCCTAGCGGGACCACCTCTAATGAGAGTCTTCACCATGAGATCAACGCGTGGTTTCGTGAGACAGCATCTCGACGGCACGATACCATGTAGACATGTGCGTCTTTCGTGTGTTGACCATAAACAACTGCAGGCCATGATCCACAAGGCGGCCTTCCTCCTCAAGATTCGTTTCTTCAGGTTTCTAAAGTTGCTTGTGCATAATCAGGCACTGTATAGACCGATGCAGAGACAAACCTCTCAGAACGAGATGATTCCTCGTGCCTTGCATGGCAACACACCTGGGATTCTCCCGAAGGTTGAATGGTCCCGTTGGTGTAGGACCTTGCGTGTACCTGGCAAGTCTTCTCGCACACCTCAGCTACATGTCCGCAACCCTGCCAAGCGGCGCATGCCAGTCTTGCCCAAGGCAAAGGCTACGCGGCGCACGCCTTTTCGGCTGCGTGTCCTGAATCCTCTTGTCCGACCTGGACGGAATTCGAGGGACCTTAACTGATCGGCTCCAGCCATGCGGAAAAGATGCTACAGTTCATGTCTCATCGCACTCCCCAGAACTATGCGTGAAGTTTCATGTCCCCACCGACACTAAAGGTTGCCGCAGGTAATAGCGCACACATACTAAAACCTGATGGTGCAGTGCCAAATACGCCAGTGCTCCGATGTCTGCGTCTATATGCACGGCATGCCAACATTACAGTTAGTCGTAGCTGCCGTACAATGTATGTCTGACTACATTCCAAGGAGTTGTGGACATTCTTACCGGTTAAACATTGCATTAACACGAAGCTTGGGCGCAAGTGACCGCCGTTTGTATGTCTCAGTATGATACGGAGCTAAGTGCCGCGAAAGTGCAGACAGTTTGAACGATCAATTATACATGCAGGGAATCTGCGCCTACATCACCTGTGTCATGGCGTGGTCTGTGGTGGCGAGCACAATCACTGCTTGTATACAGAAATGCAGCCATCCACATACAATGTATGCCTGTCGACATTCCAAGGAGTTGTGGACATTCTGACCGGTTAAACCTTACACCGACACGAAGCTTGGGCGCAAGTGACCGCCGTTTGTATGTCTCAGTATGATACGCAGCTAAGTGCCGCGAAAGTGCAGACAGTTTGAACGATCAATTATACATGCAGGGAATCTGCGCCTGCATCACCTGTGTCATGGCGTGGTCTGTGGTGGAGAGCACAATCACTACTTGTATACAGAAATGCAGCCATCCACCTGCAATGTATGCCTGTCTACATTCCAAGGAGTTGTGGACATTCTGACCGGTTAAACATTACACTAAGACGAAGCTTGGGCACAAGTGGCCGCCGTTTGTATGTCTCAGTATGATACGCAACTAAGTGCTGTGAAATGCAGACAATTTGAACGATCAATTATGCATGCATGGATTCTGGACCTACATCACCTATGTCATGGCGTGGTCTGTGGTAGAGAGTACAAGCACTGCTTGTATACAGAAATGCAGCCATCCAGCTGCCAAATAGACCCTATTTAAGCCGGCCACGGGGGGGGGGGTACCATATATATATATATATATATACATATATATATATGGATATCTAAATATATATCCCCATGTGCCCACCCTTTTCTTTCGTAATGAAGGACAGGAGTAAATCTCTAACTTTCTGATGCGCGGTCAAGAAAGCCATGCCCCCCCCTGCGACACCCAATTCTTCAGTTACAGTCCCGCACATCTGACCATCTCCGACAAGGGGACATCTGTCCACGTTCGCGTTGTAGATAGTATTGTCCCCAAATGGGCCTACGAGCGAGTACCATTCCTGCCAAATCCAAAGATCCATTCTTTCCGCAGAGATGCCATGACCAAGTTTGGATTTCTGGATCTATGGATTAGAATTTTGGATTTTTGGATTTCCATGAAAATCCAAAAATCTAAGGCTCCAAAAATCTAAAATCCAAAGTAACAAGAATCCACAATTGGTTATGGCATCTCGGAGAAAATATTGGACTTCATCACGCACTTCGTACTCAGAAAATATTGATTGAACGTTTAATCTTAAGAACACATATATTCATCGTAAAATTGTCTGGTTACCATTGGGTTGACATTTTCCCACTGTATGATCAACATTCAGTTGATATAGACTACTGTACTACTGTATAGTTCTGTACCACATCAAATACAACGTACTTGGATAATAGTCTTGGGATGTTCAGGTAACGGACAGCTAATGTTTGGATAACCTGTATTTAGTTGGATTTCGCCATTCTTGCATGCATATCTGCTCAGATTTCGTCTTGAATCACTCAATATTGAAAAATAATCGAGCGACTGTTTAAAGATTTAGATACTGGCTGAGAAGGAGATAGCACCAAATACCAAACGCCCATGCAGTATCCATTGAACGACGGAGTCATAACATGTTATATACCATATTTCAGAAGTACGTCTATAGATTTCGTTTCACTGATATCGAACCATGCACAAGAGATGAAGTGAATAGGGGTTTACATGCCGAGAGAATATTCATCCAATTAAACTAAGTAGTAATTGAACACTGATGACATAACAATTACATGTGACTGAGCCTTAACAAACTATGCGCTACATATAAGTTGCCGTAGCTGTTGCTTGTGAACAAACTATCAGACTGTTAAACAAACACTGCTGACAGGCTGCATGAATATTATGTGAGCATCGAACATCGAACAATAAGCAAATGTAAATTGCACAATAACCATATACTTAAACGTGTTTTCATGTTTGCTAACAATGGTTTGTAGACAGTTACCTGACCCGTATCTGAGCATCAACTAAGTCACTAGGCATCAAGCGAAGGCTTAGACAATAGTTAGCTACATCGTAACTCATGACACCGAATAGTTAACCAGTGACTCCGATTTTTTACCTGCAAACCTTGTATGTCAGTACTAAATGCCAAACAAATCTTCGTTAGAAATCATTAGTGTGAAGTTAGTCAAATAACACGAACAAAAAACATGGTACCGAGATCGTCTACGTCGTAATTGAGAAGTGCAAAAGCCGCAACTACTTGCAACTGAACCATGACGAAACAACATCATATATACGCCTTCCATCTATACGAGATGATGGTTTGCTTGATGTCCACACTTGCTTGGTTTACAGTACAGTCTTCGCCTTGCATAAGAATATGTATTTGTATTTACCATGATACCACATCTCAGTACAGTAGTAAGACAGATTTTCATATAACAGATACGTAAGTGTAGAACTTGCAAATATGATGAGCGCCAACATCATCGTCATTGACGGTGTGTTCGGGTCTTATTCTGTACCAAATTTAGACTCATGAGGCAGCAGGGTCACCGCCATGCACGAAGTAATTGGTGTTCGAAGGAAATACATGGCGAAAAGAGCATGTTCTGATGCAATCACGTTTGTGTTCCCCGCACCGCGACAGTCCCATTTCCACGAATAGTGATAGCGACAAGCATGCATATGTGACATGGTTTTGATTTAAGCATGTTGATGTTCCCAGGCCACGACAGTACCCTTTCCACGAATATGATAGCAACAACCAAGACGCGGCATGGGTTCTCAGCATGTCCAGCATTTGGTATTGACTATCATGCCGGCGTCCACCTCGTAGAACACGGGCGCAGCGCGGCCACACTAGTTAGAGTGACAGCAGTAACGACAACAACATAATCGCCACTAGCCCTCATCCACATTTGCATCCCATCTTTTCTTATAAACATAGGGAATCACGCCCGATGCATATTGCACCAGAAAGAAAAGAAAACCACGTCAGACACTCGATAATACAGGCAATGAGGGCGTCAAGGTGAATGGTAATGCTATGTGATCTGAGTAGTATACCCTCCTAAGACACGCTAAAAGCTACATATTACAGGGGTCAGAAATAACTCTCATGTGCAGAATTCGGCGTGTCATGAGAGATGGGTGTAAGCTGCATCGCGAATCTACAGAACCCCACCTTCCCCTGGCACATTGTTCATGCTGTTGAATCAGGGCTGTGGTGTGTTTTCTCCCGAAAACAGACGGAACGGTGGGCACACATAAATACATAAATACATAAACACACAGACACATATACATATATATATATGTATATATGTATATGTATAACATATTTATTTATGTAAGTACTTATGTATTTAGTTGTTTATGTATATATATATATGCATATACAAATACGCGGGTCTTTCTCTTGTCACTTTGGTGTTTTTGGCTTTACATGCATAGTTCCGAGTGCTGTGCGCATTTGCTGTGGTGCCCTTCTGGCGCTGAATGCATGCATTTACCCACATCAGAAAGTATTCACAGTAGGGTCATGCGAGCTACCCTACAGACACAACCCGTTTGCCAACATGCCCCAAAGCCAAGCAAAGATAAGCTGCTTCAAAGCCAAATGCTTCCAACAGCCCCAAACCCGCAAGGGCCTTTGCCTTGGGCAGGCCTGGTATCGGAAGTACTGCGCCCTGCAAGCCTTGTCGCTCGGCCGCCCGTGAAAGATCCCAAAACAACTTAAGCAGAGTATCGATGCTGGCAGCTCTTCTACGGCGATTCGAGAACTACAGCAGTTTGCAGCTTTCTCCTAGATGAGCGGAAAGAGTTCAAGCACTGCTATTTACTGCGACGCTGCACAAAGCAAGGTCCAGAATTCCCCGCGAGTTTGAACGCCCAATCTTAGATCTCGAGCGCCTGGACAAAATCGCCACAATCAAGTCCAGACGCACGAAGAGCACATCTCAAACGGCACCCACACGCGAACACGGAAGTTTCCCGAAACAGGAAACCTCACATGACATGGGCCTGACATCGTGGGATGCCTGTTCAAGCTTGTGCACTTACTTGCCCAAGACGGCGTAACTCTAGATTAGCCTATAAGCACCAGCCATTCGTGGTTGCTGCTAATGGATGCCGACAATGATGGTCGTGATGAAGAGGCTGTTGATGATGATGGCTATGATTATGACGGTGTCGATGTCGATGTCTGCCCAGCTTTATGGTAGTCCGTACTCTGGTCCTGAAGAAGACCAAGGCAGCGCGAGGGCGAGGCCAATCAGGCCGACTTCGAGAGCTCAGCAAAGCAACACTTCTGGGGTGTTCGTGTTCGTGCGCGACAGTGCTCTGAGCTCTTGTCGGGAGGAGGCTGAAAGGTTCGGGGTCCTGGAATCCAGCTTGAGGTCTCCTTTAGTGGAGAGTCTCGGCTGTTAGACTTGTGTTTTTGGAGGATTACGGGATTCAGGCTCAGGTCCTGAAGCGCATTCCAGCCCTGTTCGGTGTTGCCGGAGCACAGCAGGTCGGAGGGCTTGGCGGAGCCTCAACCCGTCTCAGATCATATTCACCCTTACCTAAGTACTGAGGATCCAAAAAAGCACAAGCTTACATTGGATGGAGCCCCTGCCGTCTTGCCTCCGTTTGATTGGAGGCGCTGGCACGAGCCGGGCTTACTCCACCACCCGCAACTCGGCTGTTTTCAGGATCCGATTTCGCGCTTGGGCAGGGGATACAGGAAGTTGTACAAAGGCGCAATCTTCGGATTGCTCATGCAGGGTGGCTGTGAGCGGCTCAAACCAAACTGTTGGAACCGCTCCGTGGTGTCGTGTATGGCTCAGGCAGGTCAGGGCTTAGGATTGCTCCCTGCGTTGCAAAAGCCCCGACAGGGTGAGACGCACCTTGCTGTGTTGTTTCTGTTGGAGCTCTGGGCCTCGAAGCTGGTAAAGCCTGCACCCGAAGCCTAAGTCATGTCAATGCAAACTCCAAGTACTTTTCCATTTTCCTTCGACTGCCTGCGATTTGCTAAGCAAACAAATTCCTATCTGCCCTGAGACCTGATCCGAGGATTTCCATCGGATTCCAGCTTTCAAATTTGTAAAGCAAGGCTATGAGATTCGACTTTCGAGCTCAGGATTAGGCCTTAAGCCACGGCTTGAGAGTTCCAGTTGTGCGGAATCCTGGTGTGCCATGGGTTGACCTTTACTGCTGATGCCACCATCGCAACCCTCTGACATCAGAAGCCAAGAAGTCAGAGTTCATGGCAATCCAAGGCCCATAACACTGACGGGAAGTCAAACCACTGTCGAATCCGAATCGCTCAACAAGGTAGGTACTGCTAAACCCCCGCTTACTTAGAGCTCAGGCCAAAACAGCGGTAAAGAAGACCACGACGAGAACCCCGGCGCTGCCAGACAAAAAGCCGCTCGGCTGTCTCGTGCTTTAGCGTTCGGCGATTCACACTTCAGGATTTGAGGTCCAAGCGGGTTCAGGGTTCAGGAGGATAGGGGGGTTTTCGGGAGAGACATCGCCGAGCCGTGTTCTGATGTTGGGGCCGGGGGACCGTGGAAGCCCCTCGGCCTGCAGTGCACAGGCTTGGGGCCCGGGCTGGGGCTGGTGTTAAGATTCAAACGTTGATGGTCCTACGGCCCCGGAGCAGCCGAGGACTCTGAAGCCCAAGGAACTGGATCCCACCCTCCTGCGCCTTGGACCAGGGATGTTGGAGTTGGCTCACACAGAGCCTTGCTTTGCCGAGGAGCCTCTTTGAAGACCTGGTCTTCATCGAGATCGGCGTGGATTCCGTGCTGGCAGCGCCTCGGAGTCCAATGCATCCAAGGTTTGCTTTGCTGGTATGCCTGCGGCCTTAAAGTTGAACAAAAGCCATGCTCTGTCGCTACGTGCAGCACGTGCAGCAGTTTGCCTGTGTAGCGCCCCTGTCACAGTTGTTTTTTTGGATTGTTGCTCCAGGTGGACCTGGTGCGTCACCTGCAGGCCGAGCTCCCGGACACACAGCTCTCCCTGAGCCTGAGCCATCGCTGAAGTCCGATCGTCAGAGGAGCAGCTTAAAAGCTTGTAGAGAAGCTCACGAAGAAATAGGCTGGGGCCAAGGGTTGACCTCTACTTCTTCAGGGCTCCGGGCACATTCAAGGAGCAATAACTTGCGCCAAGTGCGCCCCAGCAAAGCCCTAAAGGAGATGAGGTGTTCGGTGTCCTCCGGCAAAAGCTCACCATTTGATCAACGCAAGCAATGTCTTCACTTTCGGGATGCTCGGTTGAAGCTGCAAAGCTGAGGATCTACGAACGTCCTACTGTGCGCGAGACCATCAATGAGCTGATGGGCAAAATCAACGCGAAGAGCCTCGAGCGATCAACAAAGCCATGTGCCCTAAACTCCAAATCGGCCGCCCTCACGCCGATTCCGACGTTCAGAGTCTTGAGCTTTTGAGATGCGCTTTGGCCTTTCCACCCCTGCTCCCATTCCGGGCCGGGTCCCAAAAAAAGCATGTTCGATTCATGATGCAGCTGCCGGGCAGTTGTCACCCTTCTGGCCAAGTCTTGACCGACCAATATCCAAAGAGGAAATAACACTACTTTCAGACGTTGACATAGCATTTTTGGAGTGCGGCTACCACCACCCCTACTTGCTTTGATGGCTCCAATCACGAACCCAGACCAAAGCATCGGGCAAGCAATAACAAACAAGCACGAATTCGACAAAGTCATGTAGTTGATCCTGCGCCCAAGCTCAGCACAGCACCGCCTAGGAAAGCCGATTATCTTCGTCGGCGCATGGCAAGCACCGTCTGGAGGGCCCTTTGTGACGCCCTGGGCAAGGACAACTTGGGTGAAGCCTCTGCTAATGAGATTCTGACAACAAGTAGCTGTGATGAGGGCTCCCAGTTCACGTCTATGTTGTTGTCCCCTCTTTTCTGAAAAGCACAGATGACAGGATTCGTGAGCGCTTTTGATGATATGGTCACAGATTTAGTGCTGGGCTGATGCTACCAAGCTTAACTTTAGAGAGTCACCTTGGGCGCCTTTGGGATTCGACAGTGCCGAAAGCCTCTGAGTCCTGAAGCCCAGAAGTTCCCCTGAGTTTCATTGCGAATAAGCAACGAGATCCACAAACTGACCGTCGGAGAAAAAAGGACCCGCTGAAGCAACAGAGACTAGCACGTTCCCGGCCGCTTTACACCGAGATCCAGGCATCCCGGTTGGATTTGTTACGGGTCATCGGGGGAGAACGTCTCCAGCCTGAGCAGAGTTGCGGCAAGGGGCACGTTGCTTTGAAGGTGTTCGACGCAGGTGCCGACATCATTACCATTGCAAGCACCACAACCGTGCACGTAGACGCATCTAAAGCACGCCGCAAGAAGGAAAGCTTTTGGTGTCGTAACTGCTTAGATCCCGTACACAGAAACATCTACGGACATCTGGCGAAATCTGGCAAACCCAGAAGAATCCCTGAAAAATTTTCGGATGACCTGCAAATCGGTGAAATGTTCCAGAGCGGATTTGAAGCAACAGTTCTGTGTAGCGCACGAAAGTACCGGGTTGTTGTCTGAAAGCTGCCGCCTGGGAATCCTTTATTAAGGGCCAGTCTGACGCTCAGAAATCGGCATGCTAACAGGATGGTGACGACGGCGTCTCTGCTTCGATGTCTTCGGATGCCAACCATAAGTTAGGGGAGGAACACGGCAGTAAGAACATGAATCAAATTCCTAGAGTACCAATACACGTCGCATTGATACACGGGCGACACTGTAGACAAACAAAGGCGTTTGCAGTAGAGGCGGTAGCAGCAGCCGCAGCAGCAGCGCAGAACCAAGAGCAACAATGACAGCCACGCTGCCAGCAAAGGATAGCGGCAGTTACCCGGTCAGACCGATTGCAGTTGAGACAGAGGAGTAAATCAGCACAACAACAAATAGAAATTGGCGACATCTACAACAAGAACAAAAGACAACACTTCCCTTCCCTCACTGCTGATGCGTCTCGTGTGCGGTCCCGACAGCAAAACTACCTGGAGCTTTCTGCCGCCTACTTTGCCGTGAGCTTGCAGCTCACGCACCTGCGCGGGTGCGGCAGTATCAACGCAACAGGAACCAAAGTAAGGAAGAAGCTATCAAGCAGGACGCCAGTCGAAAGACTAGAGTGACTAGAGCACAGACACCAGAACGAAGCCCGTTTCGCTTCGCCTGAAACGTAAAGTCCTGGTTAAAGTCGAGAGAAGGGTCGACCTGCAGAGGCCATGGACATCCTTTCGGACCTGCAGAAAGCCTACGAATCACCGAGCTCCTGGGCATCTTCTTCCATTCTAGCTTCGTCTTCCTGTAAGTTACTTACAAGCTCATGATCGTCTACTTCAGTGCCTCGCAACAATCACGTTGCGGTGGATGCACATAGGATTCCTCACTCAATGCAACGTGGTCTTAAGTGATGCAGAAATACATGTCGCCAAGATAAACCAGAATTGCATAGCACACAGCACAGTCTTAAAGACAGCAATGCCTGCTCGTACGTGTATATATTGCTGCATTGCAAATCATGAGTTCGCGTTGCGCAGCGGAGCTTTCGAAGCTGTTGCCGCATTGCATTCAAGTCTTGTCGCGGCGTGACGGACATTTAGGGCTTCAGCGTCGAGGAGGGACTGCTCACGGGAGCCTGGCCTGAGTTCACCTTTCGCCTCCTAGGCTTTGTGAAGGCCGCCGCGGAGATCGCCCGACAGTCGGCCTTCGAGCAAAGGTCCTTCCTGATGAGCCTCAGGCGTGGCGGTGTGACCAGAGGCTTCGGTGGAGAGTTTTGCGGTTCTTCCCCGAAGGCCGAAAGCGCTGGAGGTGCAGAAGCCCATCCTGAGGACGCTCAGAGCTGTGCGAGTCCGATTGTAGGCGTTTTCTCGGGCGTAGCTTGGCACGTGTAGGGGCTGCCCGAAGGGAAGAGGGGCACACGGGGCAGCCTAGTTTTCCCATCGACACCGACAACAGAAAGCTGGGCCTGTACGTAGAGCCTTCAAGCAATTGGCTGCAGCCTTGTAGCCTGCGCAGTTAGAGTGTTGAGAGGGTGCACGGGCCTCCTGCCTTTGCAGGGTACAAGTTGAACGCCGGGAGTTTAAAGGCCCTAAAGCCTGAAAGCTTCCCCTTCGAGGCGCCTGGGGCTTCCCATGGACTCCCAGGGCCTCCGAGACTTGGAAGCTGCCGCTGGGATTGGTAGTTCCTGCGAGCGTCCCTTCCAGCCGTGATCTGCGTTGTGCCGAGGCCTTGGTCAACACGGCGCGGCAGGCCAGAGGACTTGCAGATTGCTGGAAGTCTGCCGCATGCAAGACGCATCATGCCGGTAAAGCTTAGCTTGTGCGTCGGAGTCCGCTTCTTCAGGCGCCGGCAGTGAAGGAAAAGCTGCGGATGGTGCGCATGGCCCAGCAAGGTGGCGACAACGGCATGTGGACCATCAACGTGGAGCAGCACCTTGGACTGGTGTTGCGGATCGGAGCTTTCGCTGGGTTGCATTTTGACGCCCAGGAACCCGTGGTGGTCTGACAGCAACTCCATGCAGCTGCGAGCCGCCGCTTACCCTGCACATGGGGTCCTGTGAGTTTTGAGGTCTAGTTGGGGTTGGGACTTCCAGGAAGGATGTGTCAAGACCTTGCGGGCGCAGCGTTGCAGCGACGCTGACAGCCACAGCACGAGGTCTTTACGAAGTCCGACCCGTTCGGTGCAGCCCACATCAACACCAACGCAGCGTGCCGGTGAATTGACAGCACCCCTTTCGCCTCCTTAGGAGCCGGGCCGGGCCGGGCCTCGCGGCCTCGGCTTTTGGTCTCAGACTATCTGGAAAAGGCGAGGGTTTACTGAAGAGATCCCCACCCAGCTCGCGAGGTTCGTGTCTAGCCAGCGTTGAATCGTAGCAGAGACAAGCGAGACGTGTGGTGAAGACACGCCTCTAGGTTAAAGAACCCCGGAATGATCTCGCATGGCTAGCAGGCTAACATCCTTGGTAGCACAGGCGGATGCGTATGATTGACAAAGGGGACGCCCCTTAAGCACCCCGAAGCCGAACCCATCAAGATGCGATACTCTAGTCGACTTCCAGCGCCGATACGCCCTTCGGAGGAAGAAAAGGGCACTTTGCGGCTTTGGCATTATTCATTTCGTTTGGAGACACGACATGTGGCATAACAACGAGCAACCCATCCCTGCAGGGACCTAACGGGGGGAAGTGAGCTTGCCTCCGTCAATGTGGGAAGTTGCTAGCGGCTCGTCTGTTCCGTAAAGACTCGCCACAGCTTGTTTCCAAGCGTGGCATGCCCCCCTGGTTAGCGAGTCGAAGTGGCTCTTGCCTTGATGACGGGTTTCGGAGGTCTTCTGATCGGTGGAGGGAGTCCACGACTCCGTGATGTGATGTGCGCGGGGGCGATCTGTGATGCCGTCAGTGCGCAGACGACGAGCCCACGTTCTCTGCCTTTTGCGTCCTCTTGTACAGTCCCCTTTTGCTGCGTCGAGAGGACTTTATCAGCTCGGGGAGGTCCAGCCGCTTGCAACTGAGCGCCGTGCTTGCGGATGGCATGCTGGACTGCGATGGACACGATGCCCTGCCATCGTTTTGACCAAACTCCTCCTGCCGCTCGAATGGCAGCACGTGTTGGTCACGGAAAACAGCTCGTTCCGTCGCTTGTCCGCTGCGCATAGTGCCAAGCTTCGGGCTAACGTCGTAGTATGCGGACGCTTGCAGCCCGGCCTCGCAGGCGCCCCCCGGGTGCTCCCTTGGTCCGGGCAGCTCGCTGTCGTGGAGTTGCCCTTCGTCCTTGGCTTATCATAACCTTGACAAGTTTGCACCGTCACCCAGCAAAACAGAGTTGTTTTGTTCGGGCGCAGCAAGTAGCTGCTCGGAAAAACCTCCTCCGACCCCTCCCCGTGCCCCCAGTCAGGGCCCTGAAGCCGATGTGCACAGATTGCGCGCTACCAACGCCCACTCCAAAAAACACGCACAATATCGTCTCGCGCTGCATGGGCTCCGGGCTTTCAGGATCCTCAGCGGATGCCTTCTTGCGGTCGTTTACAGGTGTCCAAAACCCGCCATACCGTGGGGATAGCCGAAAAACCGTGCGTTGGCGGGTCAGCCTCCAAACGAGGTCCCGTGCGGCCCAATGGACACACACAGACAGCTCCGATGAAGCAGGGTCGGCGCCATAGCCGACCGCGCAAGCTGCACTCCGCCTGAGGCGGAGCCCGAACAGGGCACCAAATTCGGGCCACCGTCAACGCCGACGCACACTACACTGTAGCTTTTGTCGATGCGGTCCATTGCAGGCGCTGCCTGACCGAAGCCCGTCCATCCACCTGCAGCAATTGTGGGTGTTAACAAGGCCACCACGACGCCACATGCAGGACACCTCCAGTTGGGTGCCGGCGCGCTCCCCGCGGCCCAGCGAGGTTGCGTCCCTCGACAGCCAAGCTGTTAGTTCGTTCCACCATATTCAACCGGCCCATGTTTATCAGCATTTGCTTGAGTCCTTGCTCAATGTCCGCGCCGATAGCGCCTTCCAGAAGTCGCAGACGCACGTGCACTTCTAGCCATCCGACATGGCGGTCTGGGCCTGCGCGTGCTGAGCAGCCTGGGCTGTATCCATCGCCGCGTCCCGCGTTTCGCATCTTGTTGGCTTGCTTACCCCAGCAACGACCTGCATTCCGACACTCTATGATGGCCATGCTTCGTCGCCAGCTCTGGGTTTCGAAGCAGCTGCTTGGACCGAACTCCGACATGTCCGCGCCACGCACGGGACATGGCAAGCGATTTGCAGCGGCCAGGAGGCACCTGGGTTGAGCCACGCAATCTGCAACGGTAGTTCGCACCGGTAAGTTCACGTAGGGCTGGCAGCTTTCCGCTACCTCGATTTTGGCGACATCTGTCACTGTACGGAACCTGGGCGACTGTGTTTGCGCCGCGGTCCCGTTGAACCCCCTCGGTGATCACTGTGCTGCTGCCCGTGTTTGCCGCGAAGTTAGGGCTACCGTTGCCGGCAATGTTTTCGTGCGCGACCTCAACATCCACCCCGAGTGCCTCGATGACCGCCGCATCGACGTCATCGCAAGTGGACTCGCGCTTGGGGGCGGAGCAAAGTGTCCTCTCTCGATACCAGGCACGAGCGCCTGTACCGTGGCGCTGCTCTTCGCCTCGCCCACAGGCCCAAGGAACGCACCTGCCCCGAGCTACTGCGCTCGCAAAGGTGCGGGCTTGTTGCCCTTGAGGTTGGAGACTGCGGGGTCCCGAGGCCGTGCGCCCCCTCGCTCCGGGCCCGCGCTCTGCTTCGCCATGCGGGGCCGCCCACAGCTAGCGCTTCAAACTCCGAACGGCCCCGCCGTCGCCGCAAAAGGGAACGAATGCAGCCAGGGAGGAAGAAGCTGAGGAACCTGCTGTCTGCTGTGCCAGGCAGGGTGACGGTCCCACCGCTTGCGGCATGCTTACGGCTGGTAGAAACGGTTGTAGGGCGAGGGACAGCTACGGTCGAGCCCGAAGAGTCGGGGCCGATCGGGTGCCGGGCAGGCGGGGGGGGGGCGGGGGATTTGGGGGCGGGTTCGCTTGTGAACCTGGACTTTGCTCGGCGTGCGTTTTTGCGAAGCCGGCTGGGCTTGGCAGCCACGAGGCGTACGCAAGTGGCGGGTGGCGGCGCTCCGGTGCGGGTTTGCCGCATTGGCCGGGACACGCGCTAGCCTTTCTTTCCTGCTCCGGGTTGTCTACTCCACCCGCAGCCTGAGTCGAAAGACATGAGCAGACTTGCCTTAAGCCGAGTTTGCCTCCGCTGGCTCTGCGTGCTCGCGAAGCCAAGGGCAGGTAAGGCTCTCAAGCTCACGCGTTTGCTTCTCCACGCGTGTGCAGCGTTGGTTCGCTCGAGATCGCTCGAGTCCGTCGCAGCCGCATGAGCCTGCCGCACCTACCCGTGGCAGGAAGTTTCCGCGCGCCTTTTTCCTAAGACTTCTATTGCACACACAGTGCGAGGCGCCGGCACGTGTGCACAAAACATAGCGCTGCCGTGGCAGCTTGTGACGAGCGCGCTTGACTGGGTCCCGAGCGCTGCTGCTTTCGCAAGCTGGACCCACTCAGGCCGTGCCGTCACTGTCTTCTCGACGTCAGTTGCCGTCACCCTGCCACCCGAACCCTTCCAAGTGTTCCTTCTGCGACGGCTTCGTTTTCCTCTCGGCGACCACCGCTCCGCTTATGCCGCATCCGGAGTGTTGGCGTCCCGACCCCCTTGCGATCGAGCATGCGGTCGTCCGGGCCACTGCCTGTGCAGGCTGGGTCCAGCACTGGTCCGGTCTCCTTGCCGTCGCTAGCCGCCTGCCAGCACCGAACCGAACCAGCCCGTAGGCCACGGCCTTCACGTCCACTGGGACCGCGATTTCTGTTCGAAAAAACGAAACACGTACTTCGCATTTTCGAAGGGCCATTCTGATGCGTGGCTCACATAGGGTTGCTAAAACCGAGCTCCTAGATTCCAGAGCTGACATGTTTACATTCGGCGCGGCGCTGAGGTCGGTGTTTGGCTTTGAATCCACTCGTTCACCAATCCCCCGAACAAAGCATCTGCCGCTGCTCTCATCAAATGCGCGGGCTTCGGCAATGGTGCGAAACGGCCTCGCTGGTGCTACTAGCATGGGCAAAAGCAGGCGCATGCAAGGCAGGCAACCGCCGAAGCCGCTGCTCCGCTTTCTTCTTCATCCAGGCGATGCTGTTGCCATCGCGGCTGCCCTGCTTCCATCCCGCCCTTTCGATGCCAGGTCTGCACGGAGGGGCGTATACACCACTCGGAAAAGCCTTGTGCTGCGACGTCACGCTCGTGTCCCTGCTGCTATGCGACGGGCGCCCTCAGCCTACCGCCGCAACCCGTGACGGTGCCATGATCGCTGTCGCTGAACGACGCACGCGCGCAGCGTACACCGAGTTGCTGTGCCCGGGCTCCAGCGCCTTCTTGCATCCTCGCGTGCGAAGCCGGCGGACGCTGGAGTTCTGAATCGCTCCGCTGCGGCTTCGCGCCCGACGCGCTCCTGCTGCCCTGCGCGGTGCCGCTACCCAGGGCTGACTGCGCCGCTGGTGGTGCCTGCTCGGTGTTGCTTTGCAAAGCACACTTGCCGCAACGCTGATCGGCACGCCATACATCGCTGGGGCCATGCCTGGCTCTCAGCTCCCCGCGCTGGGGCACGTCCTGCACGACGCAGCCCCCCCCACCGGGACCTTGCTTCTGTGCGCAGTCGTAAACGGTGCGTGGGAAAAGTTTACTGTGCCGACACAAATACGTGTGTTTTGTGTGTGGTGCACAAACTCGGAAGCTTTACGCCTCCAACGGCCATACGTCAAGCGCGAGATCACCACCCCCTTGTGGCTTGAGAAGGGGGGGGGGTGAGGCTCTGAATCAGGTACTGGAGGGTCTGGAATTCTGGCCCCGGGGGCCGGAGAGTGCAGGGTTTGAAATCCGGGGTTCAGGATATTAGACCCTCCCAGCCCCGTGGATTCCAGACCCAACTGAAAATCGCTGGACAAAAACTGGTTTTAAACTTTTGGCCGCCGCTTCGCACTATTCTCGGTTTGGCAGGTCGCGAGATTGAACTACAGTTCCACGAGCACCGAAATGGATCTGAGATTTGTGTCCCGCGGTGCCTGCTCGTTCCAGTCTCTGGACCAAACTTGGCGTTAAGCTTTTGGCCGCCGCTGCGCACTATTCTCGGTTTGGCGGGTCGCGAGATTGAATTACAGGTCC